GATCACAAATGGTACTCAGAGCAGGATATTCATTCTAAATTGTCATAACGATTTCTTTTTGCAGTTTTTTTCCCCCCTATGTTTGAATTGGGAATGGCGTGAGAAGGAAACGCAGAGTAGGAGCTGCAGGTAGCCTGGAGTATGATATAAAAAGATAAAAAATGACAAAACTATCAAAGTGTTCTCGAAATGAAAATATTTTTCTTCTCACAGCGTTGTTTTGCCCATTCTCTTTGTTTTATGGGTTTGGGGCTGTCTACCTGCAGGGTTGTGGGTTTTTTTTGTGCTTATTTGTTTTGTTGTTTGCAGCTTTTTATATAACCAGTTACTGCAAATAGGCACGCTGGCTACCAAAACACTGCAGTGTATACAATCCACTAGTAAAATTTCTGAGAAGATATTTCACTTAGTGAAATATTTGCAATGCAAGTTCTGCTATGAGCAGAGTACTAACTGATAGGAGGAATTGCTTAAAGGATGAGGAAGGGTAGCAGCATACTCTCTGACAGTGAGTAATTACTATTTAAAACACTCAGTACAGGGAGCCATAGGTAAAATTGTCACATCATAGGTAAACATGAAGATTTGTAGGACTGAGTTAAAATTATACGAGAGGTAAGTTGAAGTGCAGCACTTGTAGGCATGATAATAAAAGGATAAAATAGGAGGAAGGTTGGCAGGAGAGCTGATATTTCTCGTTCACGATTCTAAATTGACAACACTCGGTTTTACTGTTACAAATATGTGTGCAGATTTCTTCGTGCTGTGTCTTGGTGGCACATTAATCCTCGTTCTGAATCTGTGTATCTTTTTATTCAAATGCTCTTCACATTATTAATGAGGATACTTCAACAGGCTAGTATTTTCACCTTTAGAACTAAATATGACGCAGATTTGATGTTAGAGTAACAAAGTAACTCAGTTTCAGAACAGAACTTGTGTTTTAGCACGTGGCAAATATTCCCTGTACACGATATCCCTTAGTTCTCAATGTGAAGTGCTTTCATTTACAACAGATCCAAGTTTTTGGCTCTCAGCAGACATTTGCAGAATGAAGAAAAACAAATGTCTGCATTTTTACAGAGTTAATAAAACCTGATGCTACTAACAGCTTAATATATCAGTATTCTGTGGACCAGCATATTGCTCTTCTGTGTTGCTTGAAGATGAGGGAATGAGGGAAAGGAAGAAGTTTGTCTTAGGATGAAATGGCAAAAATGTGTAACTGGAAATAAAATGTAGAGGGTTAACTTAAGAAAAGGACAGTAAACATATAATTTGTGTTGGAAATACTCTGAGTAGATATCACTCCGTTCCAAGGAAAATGGTGAGGAAAGCCATCAATCCTTAGCAGGCATAACGTTATGGTGTTGGTTGCATATATGAAGGGATCACTTGCATAATTTGTCAGACTGGCCTGTTGGTGAATAGTCACCAAGTGAGAAAAATGAGTTATGGCACTTCTTTTTAACTTGGTTCGTTCAGACAATGGAAGATACGAATTGCTGTTGCTGAATGTATGGTAGGAAACATAACTTGAATTCTCCTAATTTGGCTGAGATTTTTACACAGAGGGAAAACAACAAGGAAAATAACTTCTGTCCTTTCTCTGTTGTATGTGAACGGTCATTCTTGAAATAGCTCTATCCTTCTGTCTTCTCTGTTACCACCTCCTTATTCTGAGTGTGTATGAGCTCATTTTTAATATATCTAGGACCAAGGCAAACAGCAGGCTAGTAAAACAAGAATAAATGGCTGGCTTCAGTGTTGTGTTTGTGTCTAAGGTATATCTTTTATCAAGACTTAAAGATGCATATTTCTACCACTGTTGCACCATGATTATCTTTTATCCAGATTCTAATGTTAGTTCAGACATGAAAAATGAAACATCTTGAAATGAAGAAAATGCTCGATGAAGAAGTAATTACAGTGGAAATGTAATTATCACATTTTAGCTGCTGCTACAACAATTGTTAATAAGAAAGAAGTAACAGAGAAGACAGAAAGGTAGGACTATTTCAAGAATGACCATCCAAATATAATTGCTATACCAGTTGTTAAAATGCCAGCAATACATATTGCAGCCAAGCTGTAATGAACGTGGAGGGATTACTGACTTAATCCTTATTTTGAGCTTTTCTGCTGCAAAGTACGGGTAGTTAGCAAGACACCTGTTTCTGACTTAGTGAAACTATGTCAGCAGAAGGAAGGGAAAGCAGTGCATTCAGTAATACCATCAGTCTTTGTCCGGGCAGATAATTGTTTCCACTTGTGTGTTTCACAGATGGCTTGAGTCAGTGTAACCACGTTTCTGCTGGAGGCTTTCTCTCTGCTTTTTGTTGCCCAGACCCACAGGCTGAGTTGCTGCCTTGAGGTGAGTTCTGGGCACCAGTCTGAGCACTAGTGATTGGCAGCAGTTGGACAAAGGGGAAGGAGAAGTGTAATTTTCTAAACATCCAGATTTGTTGGCAGCCTGGTAGGTAGACTTACCTTGCTTAGTTCGTCAGCCATCTATTCATTAATATGGACACCAGGAGGCTTGTGAATACCTGAAAGGAACAGTTCCTTCTTTTGGTGGGAGTGCTTGACTTGGGCTTGAACTGGTAGAGTAACCTCATCCTGACAGCATGGTGAAGTCTCAAGTCATTAAGTTACTGACTGCTGAATAGGAAAATGGTTTTGTTTCTTTCATTTCATGGTTTGAGTCTGCATATCCTGATTTAAATTTGGTAATAGCATTGGGAAATCTAACTAGCTCTCAAAAGTCAGTTTGAATCTCGTTACAGAAATGATCATGAGTTACTCACGATAATTCCTACCTTAATTCCTTTTGATAGTTATAGATTATATGTTGCCTTGAATGATGTGCATAGCACAGTTCTTTTTTTCCCTGCCTTTCGCTTGCCAACGTTCTCCACGTTAAAGGTGTTGTGCTTTTGTTTTTTAACCTGGAACTTGAAGTACATTTGCACATGAATTTTGTGACGTGTAGCTGTAGCAAAGTTCACTGTCCTGTTGCTCACAGGCTTATGATAACTTTGTAAATGCAATGTTCATCTTTGAAATATGGGAGGAGAACTTGTAAGAGTTTAGCTGTGCATCTAAATGCTGTGATCTTGAACCCATGAAGCTACTGTTCAAGAGCTTGGTCAACACAAAGTACCGTAATTTTGCTATCTCCTTAAAAGCCCACCTGTGCCAGTCTGCAAGAATGCTGAACCTTGGTGTCTGAAGCAAAAATGTTCAGGTATGCTAAGTGACAAATGCAGACACCTTTTGGTTTTAGTAAATCGCTCAATTGTGGAGTTTTTGGTCTTTTTCATAAGGAAGCAGAGTAGCTGCAGTTGGAGTTGTTAATTTGTTGAGAGTTCAGCTGTGGCTCACTTAAACTAATTCACAGAAATCCAAATGTGTTTGCAGCTCTCTCTAAACTAGTGTTTTCCCAGTGCTAGCTGATCCAGTGTAGCAATCACAGTGAGCCTTTTCCACTGCAGACTGATGTTCAGCTGAGAAATCCACTGTGAGGAAATCACTCTGCCATGTGAAATTGAGGCAGTTCTTTATGTGAACTTATCTCAATGAATTATTTAGTACACATCTTTTTTTTTTTTTTTTTTTTTTTCAGTTAAACATTATTGTCCAAACATTGCCTTGTCTTATGGTCATGGCTGCCTCACTGTTCACTTAATAGCAGTTGTCTTTGTGGATTCAGGGTATATTTTGGTGTCTTTTAAATGTTGTGCTCCATTTAATGAAGTTGTGCAAGTGTCATATTGAGCCAAAACAGCACTGGACCCATGAGGTCAGTAGCCATTTCCAAAACCAGGTGATTAGTCCACTTATCTGATGCAACCAGCGTAGGTTTCAGGCTGGCTTTGCCCAGGGCTTCTGGTTCCCAAATGAGAGGGATTTTTAGTGCTTGGCTTTTTTTACATGATCCAGCACTTGTGAAAATCATTTAGAGAGATAACAGCATACAGTGCCCAAACAATTCCTGTGGAAGGGAGGAAATGATGGGTAGGTTTTGATGTTGTGAATGATAAGGCCGAGCAGCAATAGTTAAGGTGATGTGACTTTGTTTTCAAGGTATGAATTGTCTGTTATAAACGTGATTATGTGAAGTCTACAATAAGGTAAACAAGATATGAAATTGAATACAAGTAAAAATGTATGCCCCATATAGCTGAAAAGTAAAAGAATTTTAAACTAATGCCAGAAGGCGTTGAGAATTTTGAACGTTTTATTTTCTTTTCACCGCTCATCAGAAAGGAGATGCATGTCAAGCAGATGTGACTTTGGAGAACCTGTCACATTTTGATCTTTGGATGAGATCCCAGGTCCCAGAAAAAAAGCACCAGAATGAGTTGGGGCTGCTTGAAGGAGCTCTGTGGGCGCGGGTGTCCTCGGAGTGCTTCTGTCGTGTGAAGGCAGCTCTCAGGCCTGCCTGCCTGTGTCTTTGCCCAGATGTGTGTGCCCAAGGCCGGGCTGGATGGGGCTGGGCAGCCTAAGCTGGTGGGGGCAGGGGACAAGGGGCAGGGCACAGTCCTGTACACGGCAGGCGGTAGGCTTTGCGGTGCGTTCCAACCTAAGCCATTCTGTTGTTTTGCGTGGACTTCTTGCAGGCAGCCTGCGCCTTGCACCGCTGTTTTCCGCGCCGCGGCTCAGCCTGAGGCTGTCTTTGTAGGCAGCCCCGTTGCTCTAGAAGCAAACCATCCGTGTGTCCTCTCTCTGCCCCCGCCACCACAGACGCATTTCCATCGTCCTTTTGAGGAAGAAGTCGTTACGTGCCGCACGTGTCGTGGCTCTCCTGCGCTGACAGCAGATTCGGTATTTTTTTCCGGCTTTCTCAGCGGGAGATTCTTTCCCGGCTCGGAGCCGCTCCCCCTGGGCTTGCTGCAGGTCTGTCCCCCGAGCACGCCCCGTTCCGAGGGTCGAGCGGCGGGCGGGGCCGCGGCAGGTGCGGGGCGGGCGGATGACGTCAAGGGGCGGGGCGGGCCGGCGGCCGCTCGGCGGCGGGCCGGGGCGGACGGCGGAGCGCGGGAGGTGGTGGAGGCCGCCGGTGAGTGGGCGTCCGCTGAGTTCCGGGCTCCGCCGGGCGGCGCGTCCCTATAGCCTGCGCCCCGTCGGGCGGAACGGGCGCGGGTGCGGGGTTGGGGGTCCCGCTGCGAGCGCGGGGAGATGCGGTCCGGGCGCCGTCCTTTGTTCGCCGTCGGCTCGCCGGCGTGTGGGGAGGGCAGCGGCAGCAGCGCGGTGAGACGAGAGCGTGAAACCGGCGAGGAAGGGAAGGCGCTCGGAGTCGCGCTGCCGTCAGCGTGCCGTGCCGCAGCTCGCCCGGGTTTCTCGTCATCCCAAATCCGTCGTCGCTTTCCGTGCGCTCTGCCCGCACTTCGGGTCCCGTCGCCGTACCTCGCGCCGGCAGCCCCAGCGAAGGAGGGGCGGAACGGGCGCGATGCGGTCGGCGGTGTCCGTGCGGCGCGTCGCCTCGCATTTCCCCTTCTCTGCTTGCGGTGCTGCGAAGTTCGATCGCCCCGAGGTGCGGATAACTGTTGCGGTGTGTTTTCTCAAACCCGTCTGATAATTACGGGAATGGATGTACGCGAGTGCTGTACTGCCTGAGAGAAAGCTTATCTTGCTTTTTAATACGGAGCAGCTAATGTGGACGCAGCCACGGTGCTTCATTAAAAAGTTGGGAGCTAATTAGCTGTTTCTTGCAGCCGGAGTTCCAGATTTTAATTAGAGTTCCTGTTTCCAAGTTTAAACTGATTAAAGCTAAGCCAAAGCCACTTCGGTTATTTCTCAGTGTTTGTTTAAAAACGAATGAAAAGGGAAGAAGTAATTTTCAGCTCTTTGAACTTGGTGTTGGAAAAACAAACCCTTCTGTTTGAGGCCCGTCCCCGGCTGTGCCGGTCATGGGGCTGGCAGCCTGCATGCTGTGTGCGTTCGGTGTTAAAGAGAGAAAGGGAACTAATTAAAGGTGGCCAAGCGTGTAGCCTTGTGGCTTGCAAGGCACTGCTTTCAGTTGGAAAACCATCCTTTGGAAAAGAAAACTACCAAAGGTAGCGCTGGGTGCTTTGGAGTCACTTGGGTGCGTTTCCCAGCGCACAAACAAGGAGTGTTTGGAGATGCTATGATGATGCTTCTATTAGTGCTAAAAACTCTCCTGCCAACTAATTCCTGACCAAAAAGTTCACCCGCGTATGCACAAAGCTGTCATGATGATTAAATATTGCTCTCTATTACTTCCTGCATTCGTCTGATGTGCGTACTTCTCCTGAAGAGCTGTTAGTTGCTCTGAAGAAAACATCACCATACAGCTCATTCACAAGTACCCTGCTATGTTTTTAACAACTTTCCTACCCGTTTGAGGTGTTTGAGAGACTTGCACACTGATAATTCCTGAGGGAGCTGTGTGTGTAAGCTATGAAGCTTACATAGCTGGTTTATTCTGCATATTTCACAGTTCTGTTGCTGTCTTTGTGGGAAGAGCTTAGTATGTCTTTTTCAAGCTATCTCCTGTGACGATACTTAGCAGAGGATGCTTTAAAACATTTAAATATGTATATATGTTTCTGGAAATAGCACACGAAGTAATTCAGACCTTTCTGAGGTGCATGGATGGGTTGAGATGGGTTGAGACCTTTCTGAGGGTCAAGCTATAAGTTCTATAAGCTCTACTCTGTGGGACTGATGGCTGAGCTGAGCTCTGTGTGCTTGCTCACGCTTTTGTGTTCAACCCAGTCAGCAAAGTAATTTTCATCTGGTGATAGAAACCGCTCCTCACTTCTAGCATTTAAATTATTATTGTTATTTAGTAGTAACCAACTTCTGTGCTTTCTTTTGAACATCTATGCAGAACCTCCTACAAGGACAGACAGAGACAGCTGGGGCTCTTCAGCCTGGAGGAGGGAAGGCTGTGGGGGGCCTTATAGCTGCCTTCCAGGACCTGAAGGGGCCTACAGGAAAGCTGGGGAGGGACTTGTTAGATAGGCAGGTGTATGGGAACTGCTGAGTCACGGCCTGAACGTCTGATTGATCACTTGAGGTGAGCTGTGAGTCAGCCAGAGGAGCACAGGTGAAGGCAATTCAGCTGTGCTGCAGGAAGAGGTGGAGCCAGGCTGCACCCCTCCTAGACCTGTTGAAGAGCTGGCTACCAGTGGGGAAGGATCTCTTCTGGAGATTTGCTTTGCTGGAGTTTTGTAGGTGAGCCCAGGATAGGGGTAAGCCTTCTATTTATTCTTTCTGTTATCGTTAGGTGCTTTGCCAAACTCTCTTGTTTATTTTGTAGTTACAACATCTTAATATTCACTGATTATACAGCAGGTAGCAACAGGATGAGGGGCAATGGTTTTAGACTGGAAGAGGGTAGATTTAGGCTAGATATCAGAAAGAAATTCCTTCCTGTGAGGGCGGTGACGCACTGCAACAAGTTGCCCAGTGAGGTTGTTGATGCCCCCTCCCTGGAAGCATTCAAGGCCAGGCTGGATGAGGCTGTGAGCAACCTGGTCTGGAGGAAGGTGTCCCTGCCTATAGCAGAGAGTTGGGATTAGGTGATCTTAAAGGGCCCTTCCAACCCAAACCATTCTCTAATTCTAATTTGGCGCTGCTAGGTATTAACGTGCAAGGTTTGGATGCTGTGATATAGACTTCATTAGCTGGTAAGTCCAGGTATGTGACATAGGAATAAAATTGAGAACTACTACAGTTCCACTGTGTGGAGCAGGGAACTGGAAGTTTCTGTAGCATGGCCAGTCTTATAAGATTGGTCAAGCCAGGTGCTGCTTCATGTGCTTTCGTTTTTGCAAGCTGTGGATATCTGCTTGCATTTGGTTGTTTTATCCTTTCTTAGCTATTGCTAGCTGCTGCTGCAATGGCTGTGTTGCTACCAGGTGCCCCTTTTCTGTTGCCTTTTGGTTTACTACCTTACTACTTAATGGTTTTCAAGTTGTATTTTTTTGTTTGGTGTCTGTATGTATGTTTTTCATTCTTTAATCCAGTAGATTCATTGTCATGTAGTGTATGCGACGATGAAATTATGTGCCTTTTGTAATAATATCCCTAAAGAGAAACACCTCATGTGAAATTAAATCCAGAATAAGCTCGTTTTCTAATAGCAGTGCAAATTCAAATAATGAGTTAATAGAGGAACTTAAGCCTTTTATGTGATGATAATAACCTGGTTAATTACCAGAGTTAATGAGGTGTGTTCCTTGGAAATGAGGAGAGTGATCACAGGCCAAAAAAAAAAAATCTCTTCAACTGGAGAGTATTTTTCCAAATCATTGGCAATTGAAAAATTGATTTTCTTCTGGGCAGATGTGTGGTGTTACAGCAGTTCTCATCACATTCTTTGTAAAAGAATAAACACCTGTTGAAGAGCAGACTGCGTGATACAAACAATCGAACCAATGTGGAATGGTCAAAATAAATAACTGGTTTTTGTGTAGCTGTCCTGTTGGCTCAATGACTTGTATTCCAAAGTCGTTGGCAACCAGATAGTCACTGAAATGTGGATCTCTGTTGGAGTGCTGTTATTTGCAAGAAGGGAATTTGGTAATTCTATGCACTCCTTATTGTTTCATACCTTTCCAAAGTATTTCTGTGCTACTCATAACTTCATCCAGGTTGTCCAGTTACTGAATGACCAAGGCATGCAAGAGAATTTGAGGTGCTTTGGTGATTGCTCTGTACTGTGATTCTGTACTGGATACAAGTGCACAAGTTACACCCTGCGCTGACAGTGTGAGGCTGAGGGGTTTGGCAATGTTAAGCAGTGGAAGCATGTAAGGTTAACTTAAGAGGAGGTGATTAGTGAACATCAAATTTCTGATTTCACAGTGGAGATGATGCTGTATTTATAGCTGTTTTATAGTCTTAGAAATGCATGCGGTTTTTCTTCTTCTATTCCTTTTTTTTTTCCCCACGAGGAGTACTGCATTTAAGGTGTTGAGCATATTTCTGGTAGCTGATCATAGAATCATAGAGTGGCCTGGGTTGAAAAGGACCACAATGCTCATCCAGTTCCAACCCCCTGCTGTGTGCAGGTCACCAACCAGCAGACCAGGCTGCCCAGAGCCACATCCAGCCTGGCCTTGAATGCCTCCAGGGATGGGGCATCCACAGCCTCCTTGGGCAACCTGTTCCAGCGCCTCACCACCCTCTGAGTGAAAAACTTCAGCCTCATGTCCAACCTGCTGGAGCTGTCCTTTGGCAGAATGATGGTGTGGACGTGTTTTATGGTTAGTTTTAAGGCAGGGAGTGAGCTCAATGTAAGGCACTGCAGGACTTGATAACTGATAAAAGGAGTCTTGGAAAATCATCTTGCTCTTGGAGCGCAGCGTGGATCCTGGTGTGCTGCTAGAAGAGATTGGCTAGAGGCCTTTTGCATAGCAGATGAATGTGAGGAGAACTCCAGCTCACTAGCTATCAGGCCCAGCTGAGTGCAGTGAGCTCTGTTGCTCAGCTGTTTGAGGACCTTGATGCCGTCACCTGGAATAAGAACAAGTCTTGTGCAGGTGTAGGCTGTGGAGTGAGTCCTCTGTGTTGGCAGGAAATGGTGTGTAGCAGAAGTGAATGTGATAATGTCCTTATTTTGGGCTCTCTGGGGGAAGAGGTGGTTATGGTCCCCAAGGGAAGACCTGTCGTGCATGCTTCAGCAACCTCAATGTGTCAAACTCGCATCAGGCTGTGTGACCAGGTGTCTGTTGTTGCAGTGTGATCCATGAACACAGGCACAGTCCTGTCCTAGCTGCTGGCAGGCAGTGTGCTGTTTCATTTCCTTACTGTGTCAGGGCAGAGAGAGTCTTAATGTTTTTCATTTTGGAGAGAAACCCTGAGTGGCAAACCCTTTGAAGGATCTGTGTTGTCTCCTTGCAGTGCTGTGGTCTCTTCTTTAATGCCCTCCCACTAGATGCAGCCAAACGCAGATGGGATAATGTGAGTAAATGGTTTCTCTGGGGAGTGATGATAATTTCAGTGGAATGCACAAAATTCCTCTACATAATGAAAGGATCAAATTGTCCTCCTCTGTACTAGCTCTACATATGGCTAAACAGTAGTAAA